CTGGTGCTGCACAGTATACACTGGTGCTGCACAGTATATGCTAGTGTTGCACAGTATATGCTGGTGCTGCACAGTATACACTGGTGCTGCATAGTATATGCTGGTGCTGCACAGTATATGCTAGTGCTGCACAAGGCTTTTGTCAGTCACCCCCTTGGGTCTCCAGCTGGATTTGAATCCCAGTGGTGCAACTGTAGACAAAAGGCTTTCTCTCTCTAGGCCTCAATCCCCTTATCTGATCATCCCTAGTCTTCTAGGTCTTAACAGATTGATGTCTAAAACAAATTAGCTGGTTCCTGGGACAGTGTGGACAGAATTGGGGTATCCTTAGAGGCCAATACCCCAGCTATGCCAGGTGTACCCACTCATGCTGGGCAGGATGAGCTCTTTGTATACCATGAATGGTGAGCTGGACAACCTCCTGGTCCCAGGTTTAACCCCCAACATGGCAGCTGTTCTGGGGGGGTTGGGCAGGTAGGTGGGGGGATTAATGATTGTCCCGTGTTACTGGCCACCCATCACTGCTCTCTGAGAATGCTCTGAGCCCCAGCCAGAAAAGTTTGGGTGGGAAATTGAGGTTAACAATTGCTCAGCTTGGGGGTATCTCGTTGCCCTGCTAAGCCCCTGGGAAGGTACAAGAGGGATTAAACATTAATGCAGACTCTCCAGCAGAGGGGACCATGGCCACAGCTCGAGGAGCAGGGGAGAAGATAGGGCACACTGACCAAGATGATCCCTGCCCTGTCAACTCCCCTGACAGGGAGGAAGCATGAGAGAGGGCCAGGGTCCAGCCCCCATGCGGGGCTGAGCTTTCACAGAGTGTCCTTGCTGTGGCTTCCAGGAGAGTCTGGAGCCAGAGGAGTCTGGGAGGCCCTGACAGCCACAAAGCTAAATGCTGCCTGGACCTCAAGGCTTCTTAGATGTTCTAGTGGCTGGCACACAGTGTCAGTATCGTGCACAGAAGTGCCAATTGGTAAGCTTTCTCCAAAGTCAGGAAGGTGATTCACTCCAGGGAGGAAACATGTCTACCGGGGTGCTCTGGTAAGGAGCTTTCATGTGTGGTATCTCAGAAACGCATCGTCCACAGACACATGCCACTTCCCCTCAGCCCTGTCTTTTTTTTTTCCTGGGACATTGTCAGTATTCCAAAGAATGTCCTTTGGAAAACAAAATGCTGAGTTAAGCCGTCTTGGTGGGATAGAAGGGGAGAAACTACCATTTCGAGAGGCCAGCTGTGGTCTCTGTTACGTGATTTTGCACTTTTCAGAGTAATGTCCTCGATCCTCCCAGTGACATTCTCTGGAGTGAATTTTCTATTTCCCACTTTACAGATAAGAAGACTGAGGCCAACCGAGAGGAAGTAATTTGTCCAGGATCACCTAAAGAACCAGTGTCAGAGTCAGAGTTTAAACCCAAATCTCTTGATCCCTGGCCCTGGGTCGCTGTCAACATCCCCCCAGGAGTGGTGTATGGTGCTCTGGTTTGGAGCCTGGACTTTGGAGCTTCCCTGTGTTGCTCTAATCCCAGCTGTACTGGGTACTAGCTGTGTGACCTTGAGTAAGTTATTTAACCTCTCTGTGCCCCACTTTCCTCACCTGTAAGATGGGAACAATAATAGTATCTACCTCAGAGAGTCGTTGGAGGGATTAAATGAGTTAATAAAGGCATTTAAATACGTCCAGGCACATGTGAGCACTATGTGTGTTTTGTTAAGGAAAATCAGACTAATCCAAGGCTATGTCCCAGGTGGACAACAGACCCTGGCTCACTGCCTACCTCCAGGTCCATTCTCACCTGGTCATCCAGGGGCAGCTCACAGAATGCAGGGATGTACTTGGCCCACTCAACGAGCACCAGCAGCTGCTCCTTCATGGACTCACACACGTCTGCAATGCTGGCGATCTTCTTCGCCCGAATGTCACCATTGATCCCGGAAATGGGGGAGTTAATCTGCAGGAGATGAGAAAAATGCTGAGGATGGCCAGGCCCTCTGGCACTCTCTGTCCTCTGCACAGAGCACCCCCACCCCCAAGTTTCTCTGTATAGAAAGGGGTGGTGGAGAGAGCTGGTGTGTGGGAACCTTCCAGCTCTGAAGGAAGCTTGGGAGAAATGGCTGATGGAACTAAGCAGGCAGGAGGGAGATGGGCTCCCTCTGGCCTTCCACAGCTGCTAGCCTCCAGCCTCCAGCCTCTTCCTCTGCCAGCTCTGTGGAGCCCCAAGGAATCTCTCAGCCTCAGAGAAGAAGCAGGGGAAAATTCTCTTTCTCTTCTGATAGATGATGCAACCATGGCCTAGAAAGAGGCTGCAACTTGCCCAAGGTCACATAGCCAGGGGCCAGCTGGGCCTGTTTGACACTGCTATCAGTCCACTGGCCTACTGCTCTGTTCTCTCGGGCTGAGCTGATCTCAGGCCCTGAGTGAGAGCAGAGACTCTGCTTGGCCTGCAGGATGCAGGCAGGAGGGTGAACTAGAAAGTGAACCAGAGCGCCAGACCCTGGTTTGAGTCCTGTCTTTGCTACTAGACCGGCTACGTGACACTGGACTCAGCTTTCTTGCTGGGGTAGCCACTGCTCCAGGCCTGGCTGCAGAAGACAGAGGTGGAGGGATGAGCTCTTCTTCAATGTTGGGGGTTCCCAGGCGAGTGGGACGGGCATCCTGGTACCTGCTGGGACAAGACCTCCGCCTGCAGGAGTGCAGTGATGGAGGGCAGGCTGCTGTCCTCATAGCTTGATCTGCGTGTACTGATCCGGTCCCGTTCATTTTGCACAGCTGTGAGGAGGCAGAGAGAGGTGAGGAGGGAGTGCAGGGATGGGGTGAGGGGGTTGGGAGCATCCAGAACCAATGAGTGGTCAAGGAAAAGGAGGAGAGAGTTCAACCCAGAAAGAAATACTACAGGGCTGCTCTGGAGACACAAGGCTGGAAGCAGATGGAGGGCAGAGGCCACATCAGCGTGCGGGAATGAGGCAAGATGGTGTCTAACTTAGCTTGGGGGAGAAACTTCCCAATACCAGCACTACCCTCTGCACAATGGGGAGGCTGCAGGAATGATCTACCTGTCACCAGGGATGTGCATGACAACGATGGCTTGGCAGAGGGCTTGGGGAGGTTTTGGGCATGGACAAGGGGATTGATACATGATTGATTTTCTTCTTCTTTTTTTGAGATAGAGTCTCACTATGTCATCCTCAGTAGAGTGCCATGGCGTCATAGCCCATAGCTCACAGCAACCTCCAACTCTTGGGCTTAAGTGATTCTCTTATCTCAGCCTCCTGAGTAGCTGGGACTACAGGCACCCGCCACAACGCCCGGCTATTTTTTTTGTTGCAGTTTGGCTGGGGCAGGGTTCAAACCCCCCACCCTCAGTGTCTGGGGCGGTGCCCTACTCACTGAGCCACAGGCACCACCCACACGACAGATTTTGAAGCTCTGTTCTGGAAAAGGGTCCTTTTCTTTCCACATGGAATAGAGTAAAGCAGACAAAACCAATTGGTCTGGGGGATGTGGAAACAGCACAGGGAGTCCTGAATGAGGGGATCTGAGGCCCCTGCCTTCCCTGGTGGCCTCCGGCATCAGCTGGAGCTGCATGTGTTCCCAAGAGTCAGCAAGGCCAGGCTCCGTCTCTCTCTTGCCCCACTGCTAGGCTCTCTCCCGGGCACTCAGGGACCCAGGGCTTTGGCCCACCAGGGGTCAATCCCAGCCTAATGTATAGGACAGTCCTTCCACTGTCCTGACCCTCTCTCTCCCTTTGAATCCAAGAGGAAGGAGCTCTGCTGAAGCATGAAGGGGGAAGGACAGGCTCCAGGAGATCTGGGCTCCTGCCCAGAATCTGCCACACTCTGTGTGTGCTGCTAGGAATTGAGTCCTTTCTTTGGGCCTCAGTTTCCCCATCTTTAAGCTTTTTCCTCCCAGCCTGCTCCCTGCACTCTCTTCTATCTCAGGCATGGGAAGGCTGGGCATCATTCTCTGCTTCTCTGGCTCTCCCACCCCATTCTCCCAGCTTAGCACAGGCCCTTCTCCCGGGGCTTCTGGCCTTGCCCCTCCTATCTGTGCACCTCTCAGGAGACAGAAGGACCTCTTCATCCACACCCAGGTCATGTCCCTCGCGGCTCAAAACTACTGCCTCCCCACCTCACAAGTCCTAGATGGCCTGTCCATGCCAAACCTGCCTACCTCCTGGACACAGCTGCACACCTGTCCTCTGAGCCTTTGCTGGTGCTGTTCCTTCTGCCAGGATTCTCTTCCCCAACTCAGTGGCCTCTTCTCTACACTCACATCTCTGTACAAACACTGCCTTCTGTGATACCCATCTTGGCCACCCTGTCTGCCCTGGTATGCCTGCCATGCTCTGCTCCCACTCTGTTTGTCTTCAAGCCACTTATTGTAGAATTATTCGTTAATTTCTCTACTGTTTGTTGTACAAGGAGCAAAACTCCAGAAAGCCAGAACTCCATCTTTTTTGTTCACCGTAGTAGCCATGGCAACTAGGCAGAACCTGGCACACAGTAGGTGCTTAATAAGTATTTGCTGAGTGAAAGAAGGTGGTGAGTGAGACTAGCCCTACTTCTAACCCTACTTCTTTTTTTTTTTTTGAGACAGGAGCCTCCAGCTGTCCCCCTGGGTAGAGTGCCATGGCATCATAGCTCACAGCAACCTCCAACTCCTGGGCTCAAGCGAGTCTCCTGCCTCAGCCTCCCAAGTAGCTGGGACCACAGGCGCCCACCACAACGTCCGGCTATTTTTTGGTTGCAGCTGTTGTTGTTTGGCAGGCCCGGGCTGGATTTGAACCCACCACCTTGGGTGTATGTGGCTGGCGCCTTAGCCACTTGAGCTACAGGCACCGAGCCTCTAACCCTACTTCTTACAAGCTCCCTATCTCTCCATGAACACTGCTGTCCCAGCAATTCCACTTTCTCTTGATTTTCACCCAGTGTTGAATATAAAAGTCGATCTACACTGAGCCCAAGGGTCAGAGGGATATAACAGAGACCCCAGGGTTAGCGGTCTTCCGGCAGAGACTCACTGCTTGCATGGGCAGCTCAGAGCCCCACTGCCCTGCCCGCCCCACCCATCTCCACCCCTCCCACGCAGCCCTGCCAGCGCCCGCACCCCAGGGCGCCAAGTGGCCGGCGGGCGGAATGAAAGGCCTGCTGTCAGCAGCTGCCGCTAGAGCTCCTCAAGGTTAGGCGAGTGTTATCAGTGCCCGGCGCGAGCTCAGTCACGGAATGATGTTTTCCAAATGTTTGCTCAGTATTAGCAGGGTCGGGGACCTAATGTAACTTCTATTGAATATTAACCGACCTGGGTAGAGGCGGAGAAGAGATGAGCTTGTCTTCCAGAGAACCCCTGGCTGGGGGCCTGGGGGGAGCTGGCTAGCACTTCTGAGGAAGGTGGCATCAGATGGCCCCCAGCCTACCCTCACCTCCTGCAACCCTGGTCCTACTCTTTGGGTGGCTGAGTTTTTGATGCTGGGAGCCAGGTATTTGTTCTGGGTCTGACAGCTGAGGCCCAGGCAGGTGTCTGTCTCTTTGCCCTTGGGTCATAAGAAAGAGCCTGCTGTTGGCACACTGACACCCAGCTTTCTCTCTGGAGTCTTTACCCCTTCAGGGAGCCCCTTCAGCCACTGTGGGATATCCTCTGGCCAAGATGTATAGGCCTATGAGAGTTGGAGCCCTTCCTTGTGGTCCTTGTGGAGAAATTCGGGAATCCAGGCCAGAGAATACATCTCCCAAGTTGATCACCCCAAGTTCTACTCCAGGGAGCCTGGTGTCTGCTGGGCTATGGGAGCCTGAGTTCTGATCCTGACTCCACCCTGACACATCACACCTCTCTGGCCTCAGCTTCCTCATTTATAAAGTATGAGGGCATAGGTTTGATGTTCTCTTCTAGACCTAGCTGATCCATAAATCCTAAATTTCCAGCTCATGGTTTCTGGTCCTCAAGGGACTACGTTTCAATCCCCAAATTCTCCTCAGGTCATCAAGAAAAAGAAATGAGAATTTGTCCCAACTCTCCTAATCAGTGAGACTTTCTCTGGCTTTGGAAACTTCCTAATAGGTTAACGAGAGGTGTTGGGGTCTGGAAGACTTAAGTGGAGCTAGTGATATCCTAACTTCCCATGGTCTTAACCACAGTGGCAGCTGAACACTCTGCCACCCTGTCCCTTCACTAAAGCGACCAAGAGACTGCATGTGTCATGATCTTCCAGTTAACCCAGGCATGTAAATAGGCACCAATGTTTACTTGCCCACATTCACTTGCCACGGGCCAAGTCTCCCTATCCTCCTGGCAGAGTGTCAGTTTCCCTAAGAAGCAAATGGCTATTGTTAAGGCTAAGCCAAGGCTGAATGGCTTGGCGCTCTCATTCCCCATCCAGGAGCCATGTATGGGACCTGGTGGCCCTGCAGCAGCTCAGTGGGAGACCAGGGAACAAACGCTCCCATCATGGTGGACCGTGTGTACTCGGGCAAGTAGGTCAGGGAGCATGGAAAAGCACCATAGGGCTGAAGGGGGCATGATCCAGCCCCTTCATTTTATAGATGGGGAAACTGTAGCCTAAAAGGCACAGAAACGTCCCTAAAGTTACACACTTGGAATGACTCTGGATGTTTAACAAGAGACATATATAAAAACTGGCCATGTGTGTGACCAGGCCATACACAGCCCAGGTAGGTAACCACCTGCTCAGGTGCTGCCAACCACTCGCCCACCTGCCTGTGACCAGGCTTGAAATTTCAACCTGAGAGATTCTTTCTCTCAAACACAATGCCCCCTGGATAACACCTCTGGACAATCAATGCCTAAAACCTGAGGCTATGGGGATAATAGTATCACTGACTATTAGAATCAAAAAACATTAGGCCCTTAGACTATAGTTCTTTTTTTTTTTTTTTTTTTTTTGAGACAGAGCCTCAAGCTGTCCCCCTGGGTAGAGTGCCATGGCTTCACTGCTCACAGCAACCTCCAACTCCTGGGCTCAAGCGAGTCTCCTGCCTCCGCCTCCCAAGTAGCTGAGACCACAGGCACCCACCACAACGCCCGGCTATTTTTTGGTTGCAGCCATTATTGTTGTTTGGCGGCCCGGGCTGGATTCGAACCCGCTACCTTAGGTGTATGTGGCTGGCGCCTTAGCTGCTTGAGCCACAGGTGCCAAGCCTAGACTATAGTTCTTAATCTTCTCTTGGCTCCAATCGTTCACATATGCATCATATTGCCATTCATAACACCACTCATCACATAGAGTGGAAGTGACAGTGGGTGAGAGAGGCTCAGCCCCACTTAGAGCTGGGTTGGAATTTGCAGTTTGAAAAGCTCCCCCTGGACGAGCAGCCTGGGTGTTAGAATCGCCATATTTAGGGAGCAGGGGGCCTTGGGGACTACTCCCTACTCCATCAGAATTAGCCAGCCCAGATCTTCCCACAGTACTCATGAAACTAAGGCCCTGTAGGGATGAGACACAGACGTTTTTTAAGAGGGAAGGGGCAGCAGAAGAAATAGGGGCTCAGAGGCAGAGACAGGGGATGGGGGAGCTGCCGCAGCCTCCCCTGCCCTCCCTCCTGTGGGCCTGCAGCAGATGGAGTCTCAGGTTCCTTCTTCTGGGGTGGGGTATGTGCTCGTGTGTTTTTGCGTGTGCAGGTTGGTGTGCTTACAGGGTTAGACCTAGGCTTTGGCTAGTGACACAGGCGCAGATGAGCTGGTCTGGGGGCTTATCCCAGAGCTGGGAAAGGTGAGTTGAGAGAAGGAAAGGAAGAAATTTGAAAATGAATTTAAGTTACTTTGAGAAGCAGTTAAAAGATTCTTGCTTCCTCCACTGGGGCTGAAAACAATTTTAAATGTCCCTGGGGTGTGCAGGGCATAAAGTAGGCAGTGCCGAGGTGTTGTCCAAATAGCACAAAGCTCTGGGTTCAGACCTCAGGTCTTCCAATGACCAGCTGTGGGGTCTCAGGCAAGTCACTTAACCACTGTGGGCCTCAGTTCCCTCATCCACGGACAGGGGGCTTGTAAATAGTCTCCACTGTGACATGAGAACGAGAGGAGCTATCAAATGCAGAAGAAGTCCTACCCAGGGCAAGACCTTAATGAATGTCCAGCTCCGCTCTCCCCTTCTTCCTGCGACTGGGACAAGTCTGGGGTCTTGTTCTCATGTCTGAAGGAGCACTTGTCCCTGGGATGGGAAGTTAAAGAATAGGGCTCCCCATGCTGTCACCTTTGTGAAGTCAAAGGTGGTGGGTACTTGGATGTTTGCAATGTCACTCTCCATACTTTTCCTGATCTTTGGAATACATGTATTATATTAAGAAAAAAACAGCCAACGAGGCTGCCTGGCAGTGGCACAGGCAGGTGGGGTGGTGGTTGCTGGGAGCCTGAGTAGCTGAGAGTGGGTGCTTATCTCCGAATCTTTCTCAAGACCAAGCCCAGCCGCTCCCCATGGTCAGATTTCCACGCCCTCCCTCCTCTCAGTCATTAGCCAGTCACCCCGGGGCCTGTCACTGAGTCATAAAGTGTGGCTACAGTTGTAAATGACTGTCCAGACGCAGGTGTGGGTGGGGCAGCGGGGCGGGGAGGGCCGGGGCTCACCTTCCTTCTTCATGCCAGCCCGGAAGCACTTCTTGAGCCTGCAGTAGCGGCACTGGTTCCTCTTGTCTTTGTCCACCACGCACTGCCGGCTAAATCTGGGGAGGGCTTTGGATGGTTGGATGGAGAAGAAACAACTTCCCTCTCTTAGGACAGAACTAGGGCCCCCGGCCATCAGGTGGACCCCCCAATCTCCGTGCTCTATCCCTTCATCCCCGGAGTTCTCATGCAAACCGACCAGGAGCTGGAGAGGTCCTAGGACTCTCTAAGAGTCCAATCCCGTCCTGCTAAACATGGGGAAACTGAGGCTCAGAGAGGTAACCTGTGGCCATGGGTCACTGAGCTGGCTGGAGGAAGAGCCAACCTGGGGGCCTTAGCCTCCTGAGTACCAGAGCCCGGCTATTCCCACCACATCTTATAAAAACCAGCCCCCACGGCAGGCTCCTGGGCATGGCTTGCGGTCAGGACTCGATCCACATGAGCCTCTCTCTGGAGGAGGCAGGAAGTGGAGGCAGCACTGCACAGTGGTTATGGGTGGGGCCCTGAGTGTCCACCCTGGCCCTGCCACTGAATCAAACAGAGTGACCTTGGGCAAAAGCCCAGCCCTCCAAACCACAGCTTCCTCATCTATAAAATGGAAATAACAACAGTGACCATCCCAGAGGGGTGTTGACAGATGAGATGAGATCACACATGGATGGGGCACGGGTTCTGCACATGGCCAGTGCTCACAGCTGAAAGTTCCTAGGATTTCATGGTTGTTACCTAGAATGGCATCGGAAGATGGCTCTCCAAGGCCTCAGGAAGCCTTTGGGGTAGGTGGAAAGACCTGGGGCCAATCGACCATTTGTCCCAGAAAAAGCACCAGGTTAGAGGATGGGCCCATCCTCTCAAGCTTAAGAGGAAGCCTGGTCCTAAGCCTCATGGATCCTCATTTGTTAAACGGGAAAATTAACAACGTGCTCATGGGGACAGTAAAATACATGCAAAGACTTAGGATGGTACCTGGCATATGGCAGGTGTTCATTAAAGGGTGGCCAATGGCTTTATGATCAGTAAGTGGGGTTCTTGGAATACATGTTCCACAAACGTAAGAAACCAGGAAAGCACTGAAGGCCTAAAAGTGCAGATGCCTTTGGGACCTACTCAGGGAGAAGCCAGACTCTGGGGACATGAGCCCAAGTGCACCCATTTCCCAGCTATAGAAATCGAGACCCCCGCCCGGGTCTCCTCACCTGCAGGAGTACATGTGGTTCTTCCTCACACTCCTCCGGAAGAAGCCCTTGCAGCCGTCACAGCTCGAGGCACCGTAGTGTTTGCCCGTGGCCCGGTCCCCGCAGATGGCGCACAGGGCGCTGACAACCAGGCTGTTGGGCGCGTTGAGGCTGGCGCCTTCTGACGGGGATGTGTCTGCGCCAGAAGAAAAGGGAGTGAGGCCTCAGGGTGGGCAGAAAGGCAGGGACCAACAGGAGGCTCGTGGAGGGGTCTTTCCAGGGCTTCAGCCCCAGCCAGGACGGGGGGCTCTTCCCACTCTGTATCTTCCCCTCGGTGGCCTCAGGCAAGGCACTTGGCCTTTTGGAACTTCATCTAGAAATGGGGATGGTGGTGACACTGTCTTCAGAGAGTCATTTGTGAGCATCTGCTTCTCCCTGAAATGGAGGCTTTCTCTGGGGAGGAACGAAGATCTGGTCACCTCCCAGGGTGGATACAACCCCTGTCGCCCCCAACTGAGCAGAGGCGGCTGTGGAAAGAACAAATGCTCCCTGACTGCTCCCTAGAGCAAGGTCTTTTCCCTCATTCTTTACCGAGGGCCCAGGGCCCAGTGGATCTCAGCTTGGAGCCCAGGGGCCCTGCAGACTCTGGGGAACAGGGAGGACATGAGCCAAGGACAGTCACTTCCCCTCCTAAGAGGGTCATGGCAGCCTCGAACATCTCCTATCCTGGGGGCAGAAGCTATTCCATCTATATAGATATGGGGAGAGGGATCCTAGGCAGGCGGCAAAGGAGGCTTTGGGCTGGGTGCTAATGTTGACACGGCCACTAACTCTCCGGTGACCGTGGGCAAGTTCCCTTCCCTTGCTTCAATTTCCCCTGGGCCTCACTTTCTTCAGGTATAAAAAGAGCATCAATTTGAATGATCTGGTTGTTGTAAAATATTTTTTTAAACATCAGCAGCTGAACCCCCTTGTTTGTAAGCAAATCTTCCACCAAGAATAGACCCTTTGGGGAAGATGAGAAATACTGTGGACAGAAAAATGCGTGTCCGTGCACACTGCACAGCACACACACGTGCACGCACACGTGCACACACACACACACACACAGAGTTTCATAGACACCCTGAATCTGACCTCAGCTGCCGAAGGGGACATCAGGTAAGAACTAGAGAGGGCCCTGGCTTTGCAGGTAAAAACACAAAGTCACAAGCCCTTGGCCCAGGAGTAAATCCCGGCTTGCCCACTCTTCAGCTGTGTGATGTTGGCTGTGTTGGTCTCCTTCTCTGTGCTTTCATTTCTCCCCTTGTAAAATTGGGCACACGATAACCCCCTAGGGTTCTTAGGAGGGTTCAGGGAATCAATACCCGTGAAGTGCTTGGCAGGTAGTAAGCATGTATCGGCATTTGTGAAAGAAAACTTTTCTGCAGAGGAGAATTTCCAGGCTCCGCGCACAAGGAGACACTGCGGCATCGCGTTTCTGCCTCCGCCTGGCGGAACACCCCAGACTCCCGCAGGTGCCCGGGAGTGCAGCCCCCTCCACTTGGTGAATTATTCCCGGAGATGGGGATAATTGTTAAGCCGTGTTGGTGGCCTTTCTCCCTCAGCCTCTCCTCCCCCAACCCCCGGAGAAGCTGACCCCACAACTCCTGGTCATTCAGAGAGAGGCTGGGGAAGGAGCCCCCACCTCCTGGGCAGGGTGGGCTGGGTGCTGCCATGTAGATCATCTCCCCCTGAGGTCAGCTCCCCACTCCCATTGTTCAGGGGGCAACACCGAGGCTTGGAGAGGGCAAGTGACTTGCCCAGGTCTTCACACCGCTGTTAAGCAGAGCCTCGGGGTTTATGTCAAGGTGTCCCCTGGGTCCCTTTACAAACCAGAAGCCCCCGTGGCTGCTGCTGTATTGGGCGTGGGGCATGGGCAGGAGATCTCCCTGGAGCTTCCCAGCCACCAGTCTGGGAAGTACTTCGGAGGACAACCTCACATAACCCTGACTCGGAGACCACTTCAAACCCCAGCGAGGAATGCTGGAGACAGTCTCTGCTGGAGACAGAGTCCTTGAGCCCATCCACGTGGGGCCAGGACCAGTTCCCAGGACTAAGCGCTCAGGCATCTTATCTTACTTATCCTCTGGTTAGCCCTGGGAGGCAGGCACTATTCTCTACCCTGATTTTATAGATGAGGAAAATGGTTTGCCCTGTTCACTCAGGTAGGAAGGATATAGGCCAGGTTTCAGCCCAGATCTTTCTGAGCCAGAGCTGGAGGCCGCCTTGTCTTTGGGACCCCCCAAATGAAGAGCTTGTCCCCTCCTTAGGAGCCCATGGTTCCTGGGCTCTGGAGGGGTGATGGGGATGCCCCAGGGAACAGTCCAGGGCTGGGCATTGATTAGGAGTGTGACAGCACATTCTGTCCCTGCGGGGACACATGGCACCCTGCCTAGCGCAGTAGCAGCTTGCTTGCCATTTCCAATGTGTTTCCCTCTTGAGCCCCTCAGACAAGCCTCTGACACACCTGAAAGCTGCCTGCCTTGGGGAAATGAAGTTAATTTTGTAGAAAATACAGATGCCAGGAGAGAGGAAGTGACATGCCCAGGTCCCACAGTGAGTGGATGGCAGGGGCAGAAAAGCCCCTGGTGAGACTGACCATAGCCAGTGCCTGGTGGCTCCTTCCCCTTTCCAGCTGTGCTGACCACCAGCTTCCAAGCCTCATCTGGAGCCACCCCCTGAGCCACAGAAGAGCTGCCTCCTCCCCTGAGGCTGGTCTGGGTCCTGCTAGGGCCCTTCCTGGCCTCCACGCTGCCTCCCTTCCCCCACCTCCTGTGGAGGAGAGCGGCCTACCCTGCAGACGTGATCTTAGTGATGTTGGAGCAGGGGAATAAACCTGGGGAGGCACCAGCAGCAAAATCTGCTGAAACAAACAGATGCGTTGCTGATGTCAACCTCATCCTGCAAAAGGTGAGATCAGAACGTCCGTGTAGGGTCTGCACAATTGTGCACACCGGAGAGGGGACAGCACACACAAACAGAAGGCACAAAGATGGTCACATGATAAAACGTCCACACAGGATACAGATGCAGAAAGCACAGGGCACACAAGCCCATCCCTGAACACACGAGGTCAATGCCAGGCACACAGCACATATGGACACACACAAGCAAGACACAGACACTCCACAGAGATGCACACACAGGCCCACTCAATCAACAAGTACATATGGAAATAGATACAGAATGAGCACATGCAGACACAGGAACGCAAAAAGTGCCCCAAACGTGTTCCCAAAGGCACGCATTTGCCCATATGCAAACCACCTTACCTAGGGACGTACTTGACACAATCACACACACGACATACATGCTGCTTCTTAGCAAACCTTTCCTGAAAACCCCATGTTCTCTAAGTTCCCATTTCCCCTAGGAAAGTCCCAAAGACACTCTGAAATGCAGGTGTGCCTCCAGACACCATCTCTAGGGACAGGATATTCCTTCCCATCTCTCTGCACCTTAGGCCTGGGGGGTTCAGGAAGGGGCCATGTTGGGCTGAATTACTGAAGCTGGACGCAAAGAGGGAGTAAACTGTCGTGTCACTGTACGGAGCAGAGGAGCTGTGAAGTAACAGGGACCAGAAGGACTGGGCAGGGGGCAGAGGGAGAATACTTGGGATCTGTTTTTCTGGAAATTTGCCCTTCCAGGCCTCCTGTCACCCCGAAAGCCTTTCATCATTATACTTGGCCACGTCTCCTCCACTTGGCAACACCTGTGCTAGCCTATAGGACCGATCTACCATTCTCGATCATTCTCCTCCTACCTCAAAGTTAAGTGCCAAAGAGCCACTTCCCTGGGCACACCTGCCCCCACTGGCACACCTGGGCACTCCTGCCCCCACCTACCATTGCCCATCGTCAACACCTGCACATTCTCAAACTCCAGGGTGGTGTAGGCTGGGTCCAGCGCAGCACTGTAGTCAGCCATGTCCATGTCGACGAGGGTTTTGGAGAGGCGCATTCTCCCCTGCCTCCACACCTCGGCCACCTCCCCTGCCCACGATGCCCACCCCAAAGGCTCTGGGCTGAGCCCTGGCCCCCTCCCAGGTACCCTCTCTCTCTCTGCCTTCGTTTCAAACCGTCCTCTGGGAGGATGTGCTGGGAGTCTAGGCCTAGCCGCTGGAAGGGGTGGAGGCTCTGCTGGGGAGGGGTAGGGGTTAATGGTTAATCAGCCCCTCTCTGGTGGATAGCTGGGGCGGGGCTGCAGGGATTTGGCTGCTTGTTGGTTTCTGGCTGACACTTGGGGTGCCAATTATGAGTGTTGGGGTTCTAACTCACCAATGCTCACTTATCGATTGTATGGGGCAGGGTCTATAACTCCCCAGCACTTGTCTGACCCCTAACTCAACCACCCCCCAGCCATTGTCCCCCAAAGTCGGCATTGTAACTGATATGATCAGACCCTGACAGCCCACCTCCAAGACATCTGATTTCAATAACTTCCTAAATCATTGACTTCGACCTGCAATGTTCTTGCAGAGATAAAGCTACCTGATGGCCCATGACTTAGAAATCCAAATCCCAGGCCTCACACTCACATCTTCTGATGCTTGTTCTGGGAGTTGTCTTTCTACCTCCCCTGGGAGCAGAACAGGTTGGAGGTTTGGGAGGGTCAGACTCACCTCTAGGTCCTCCCCTCAGTTCCCTCTGATCCCAATATGGTCCCCACCAGCCCTCACAGCCCCCAGCTGCTCTAGCCCAGATAGACTCCATCTCTGATTTCCCTGTCCCTCCCCCCCTCCCCCAGAACAGGCGGAGAGGAGGTTTGCAGCCCCCACAGACCTGGGTTTGCATTCAGGTGCGGTACTAATCGTGACTTTGGGTAAATGATTCTCCCCCTCTGAGCCTCAGTTTCCTTCTCTGTGAAATGTACAATCAATCTCAAAGAGTGATTTGAACAGTGAGTGCAACTGCAGAAAGAAAACACCAGACAGTGCCTGGCCCGTGCCCACCCCTCCTTCTCACTCTCTCCGTTTTGTGTCTCCTTTTCCATCCTTTATGTCCCCCATGTATCTCCTCCATTCAGAATGGGCTCCATGGGAGAGCCACCTGTGCAGTCACATCGAGCCCCAACCTTAGAGAGCCCCTGGGCTTGGTTCAATGCTCTGCTGCTGCCATCTTGAAAGTCTTCCTGATTTTTGAACAAGCGGTTGTG